CCCCCCCCCCCCCAACCATTCTCGTTTGAAACTTAAACGAGAGAACTGCAGAGTCGAGAGAGAAGAAAAAAATCCGACCCAGGAAAAGAGAGAGGACGAGTGAGATGGGTTTCTCTCCTAGTTGCGTTGGCAAGCCAACAGTCCTACCCTCTCCCCATGTGCGTGACTCGCAACTGACCGTAGCCTCTGTGTTGACAAAAACCAGTTGTAGTGGGGGGCTGGTCAGCACATAAAATTGTAGGAGCGAGTGGGGGATAGTGTTGCTGATCACGTGGTACACATCCCGTGAATCAAGGCGAGTGGGAGGGGGGACACCGGAGAGAGGGAAACCGAGTGATGGGGCAAGAATCGGGTGGTGTCGCAGTGGCTCGGCTAGTCTCGGTTTCTGGTTTCTCCCGCGGCCGCTCGGTGTCAGCGTGTGCGCAGACCGGCTGCGCAGCAGGCGTGTGCGTTGTCTAGATTCTTTGTGCCATTCCTGGCATACCAAAAACAGAGTAACTCCTCTCGTATTTACCGTCGACGTACGAAATACCGTGGGAATTTTAATAATCGAGTGACTAATACTGTTTGTTGTGAAAACCCAGCCCTGTTGTTCACCAATCAGCAACCGACCTCTGGTGAGTAATTCAACTAAAATCCACTAATACCGTAAATACCCTGAATTTTTAACCTGCGGAATAGAATTCATCGGCGATGAGCGAGTGAGAGAGAGAGTGAATCGCGTGTGTTGCGTGGAATAATCAGCGGTAATGCGATTCCACCGATGCTTGTCATCTTTATTTATAAATTTTCCGTCTCTCTCGTCGTGCAAAACCCAGTGAGCCCCTTGAAAATCCATTGTTCCTCCCCCCGGTGTCCCGTCCGTAGTCGTGCGAGTGACGATACTTCGGATTTAAAAAAACCTGTGTATCAGAGGATGATCCCCGAACGGTGGTGGCTGTGCGTGATGCCTGAGTGAGGTTGGCCTACACCGTTGATACCGTGTGCTTGTTGCCCGTAAACCCCGTGGGTTGGCCTGCGCGACTCAACCAACTCTCGAATACACCGAGGCAAAGTGTTGTCGAGGGCAAGCGCCAGCCGGCACTTGAACGTTCGCCGTCGCGTCGACGTAGTTCCCTCCTTACCTCATCCAATGCGAGGAGATATGATCGCTATTTTATTTTTTTATGCATGATGAATGTCGCTCCCTTGATTCAGACATTTCGTAAATTAATAAATTGTCAGGTGTGAGGGAGCGGGGGAGGGGGGAGAAGAGAGAGAGAGAGAGGGAAAGGAGTAACGACACCGGGACTCGTGCATCTCTATCACTGCACGGTACGCTACTTGGTGATAATATATGGTGAATTATTGATCCGACGGCGTGGTGGAAAAGCGGCGGCCCGCTGCCGTGAGCGCCTGGAGTGAGACACCAATAGGCGAAGGTATACTCCTGTGTAACCCACACAGATAAAAAGAGAGAGGGGGTGAACTGTACGTACAGCTGAATGCCAACGGTGAGGGGAGGGGAGAGAGACAGTTGTGTGCGAGTGGTAGGCAAGAGCGGGTGTATGTGGAGTTTAAACGCACGAAAACTACTACTTGGCTAACAGAGAAAGGGCAATATAAAATCTCGAATGGTTACTGCTACGGAGGAGGGAGAATAATAAAGTTAAAAAGAAAAAAAATCAACGGGGAAACAACGGCGAGAGGAAAAAAGGGAGAGGTGAAGCAAAACTTGAGAATAAGGATAGATTTGATCTGAGTGAGAGAGAATAACGTCAGGCTCAAACGTACACCGACAATCAGTGTGAGGAGGCATCAAAACCTGTGGTGTTGTTACGAAAACTCGTGTGTACTCGCCCCGGGGTGGTACGTCCCGCTTCCGACGGCTGACAGTGTGATTGTTTTTTTTAAGGGCATTTTTCCGGAATTCTTGCCGACTCGTGGATTCACTTTTGTTTGGGTTTTTTTCAGTTTTTGGTTTTTACTGTGGTTTTTATTGCATCGAGGAGTGACTCAGGTTTTTTGGCTGTGGAGAATTCGCCGTACTGTGGGTGTTTTGGTTGTTAATACGTGACTTGTGGTGTCTCTATGTGATGATTGTATTTTTCGGGGGTTATTTTACGTACGAGCGCTGATGAACGGCCAGACAGACACCTGCGGACACCGCGGGGACAGTCTTGTTCGCGAGTGAATTGCTGGAGAGGAGATTGGTTCGGGGAAATTTTTATCAGTGTGATCGGTAGATTGAGGTGAATTTTTTTCACGTGCTGTGCGAAGACACAACGGTGGGTTTTATTTTTCCATTTGTTTGTTTTTGTGAGTAAAAAAGAGGGGGAGAACTGGAGCTTTTTAGGTTCTTTTTTTACAACATTCGAAGATACTGAGGCCTGTGGAACGCGCGCGCTTTTGCCTCCCCGAGTTACCGTTTTAAACGTGGCATTCAACTACCGAGACGCGGAGAAAAGCCCAACTCACTTGCGACTTGGATGGATACAGTGCATTATTTTTGGAGTGAGTTTTATTCTTGAAAATTCATTTATTAGCGATTCTCTCTTGAATCCCTTTGAAGCCCCTCGCCCCCCCCCCCCCCCCCCCCCCCCCCCCCCCCCCCCCCCCCCCCCCCCCCCCCCCCCCCCCCCCCCCCCCCCCCCCCCCCCCCCCCCCCCCCCCCCCCCCCNGATGTGTCTTTGTTAAAATGTGCACATATACATACCTAATGGTATTCCAGAACTTGCTTTGGCGGGATTTCATTTCGCGTGGGACGAGGCGTGTGCGCGCGCGAACGAGTTTCGCAATTCAACCGATGACTACATCGGCTGATGGGGGGAAAAGGGAGAGGGACTATTGTTTCGTTGGAATAAAAAAAAATTGTTTTCCCTGAAAATCAACTGCGCGGAGGATATGAGTGTCATTGGACGACTAACACGGCTTTGTCGTTCATTCGATGATGAAAATATTTGTCTCGTGGAGTTTCAATGGAGTAGATTTTGTTAAATTATTTACATTAAGAAGAGAAGATTGTTTCGCCCATTTTTTCTCATAAATTGTTCACTGGTTTCGGCCATTATCTAAGTTGAATTGATAACGGGTAAATAAATTCGTGCCAGAAATTTTAATCGTCAAACTTGGTATTTTCATTATGTGCGAAAAAATTGACCGAATTCATGAATAATTTGCGCCATTAGAACGACATTTTGCGGAGACTTGCTTTTCATCAACACTCCCTCTTTATGAGTGAATCTTGTAAATTGTTCAAGCTTTTGGAAACGTTCTTTTCTGGCGTGAGATAAATTTCTGGTGCCATTCTGAATATGAATAAAATTGGTTGCTTTTTTGATGGTTTTTTACTGGTTGAAAAGTCGTTAAATGTGATACGAGTCCATTTTATTTCGTTTGCAACTTCAAGGAGATAATGAACAGAATACAAAAATAGTAATTCTTCGAATATTATCCACTGTTAGAAAATTTCTCTTGAACTCGTGACATTCTCAACACCGAATTGTGTCACTGATAAAACAGGTGCTTTACGGATATGTCCGATGAAATCGCAACTTACAGATTCCTACGGCAATAGAAATCATTGAAAATCATGAAAATTCCGGTAATTATTGTTCTCAATTTCCAACATACTGAAAGTGCAATTGAATTTGTTATTCAACTAATTTAAAGGGCAAAAGGGTGAGGGACTATGGATTCGTTGGAATTAAAAAAAATTGTTTTCTGTGAAAATCAACTAAGCGGATATGAGTGTCATTGGACGACCAACACTTCTGAAAATGAATAAAATTTGTTACTTTTCGGAGAACAGTTTTTTTCGATGGTTTTTTACAGGTAGAAAAATCGTAAAAAACTTCACGAGTTTATTTTATTTAATTTGCAACTTCGAGGAGATAAAGAACAAAATACAAAAATAACAATTTTTCAAATATTATTCACTGTTAGAAAATTACTCTCCAAATTTCGAGTAAAAAAATTGATATGCACAACACCGATCAATTCTGTCACGGATAAACCCGTTGATTTCCGAAATATCCAATGAAATCTCAATTTTCAGATTTATGCGGCAATAGAAATCATTGAAAATCCTGAAAATTCCGGTAATTATTGTTCTCAATTTCCAACAACTGAAAGTGCAATTGAATTTGTTATTCAACTAATTTAAAGGGCAAAAGGGTGAGGGACTATTGTTTCGTTGGAATTAAAAAAAATTGTTTTCAGTGAAAATCAACTAAGCGCATATGAGTGTCATTGGACGACTAACACTTCTGAAAATGAATAAAATTTGTTACTTTTCGGAGAACAGTTTTTTTCGATGGTTTATAACAGGTAGAAAAATCGTAAAAACTATACGAGTCTATTTTATTTAATTTCCAACTTCGAGGAGATGAAGAACAAAACACAAAAATTTCAATTTTTCAAATATTACCCACTGTTAGAAAATTACTTTCCAAATTTCGAGTAAAAAATTGACATTCGCAACACCGATTAATTGCGTCATTGATAAATCAGTTGATTTCCGGAATATCGAATGAAATCTCAATTTTCAGATTCATGCAGCAACACGGAGAGAAATATTCAAGAAAAATTACGTATCTTTTCCGTAATTCCGGAGTGAAATATGGTTATAGGAAATTTTGCGGAACAGTCACGTAATTTTTACCTCAAAAAAATTTTGACTCAAAAATTTTTACCTCCAAAAAGAGAACGCTCTGGAATTTTTCCAGAGCGTTCCGTAATTTTTATCTGAATCGCCTGTGGAAAATTACGATATCGTCACTTACATTTTCTGAATCGATTCCGGAATCGGCGAGCAAACTGTGAGTTCCGTAATTTTTACTGAACATTTCTCTCCGTGAATAGAAATACTGAAATCCAACATACTGAAAAAAACTGGCAAAAGGGTGAGGGACTATTGTCTCGTTGGAATGAAAAAAAAATTGTTTTCCCTGAAAATCAACTATGCGGAGAATATGAGTGTCATCGGACGACTAACAAAACACGGCTTTGTCGTTTATTCAATGATGGAAATATCTGTCTCGTGGAGTTTTAATGAAGTAGGAAAAATCGGATTAGTTAAATTATTTATATTTAGAAGAGATTATTGTTTCGACCGTTTTTTTCTCAATAATTGTTGGCTGGTTTCGGCCATTAGAATCCCAAAAAAAATAGACCAAGTGAAATTTTCAAGTCGGGTGGGTTTTAGCACGTTTTGGATGTGTGGTCTATATTTTCCACTAACCCAGCCATTATCTCCGTTGAATTGATGACAAGTAAATAAACGCTTGCACCTTACGAGGAATTTGTGCAGTGACTTCATCCTGTGGAGTTACAATTTTTATCTATTCTTCCTATTCTTTCGCCCGTTTGACCAATACAATGGCCGACACGAGTCGAAAAATAGAAGAAAATGTTCTCCAGTCATTGTACGTTGACTGGAAAATCAAGTTTGTGAGTCAACGGGCGAGAGAAACCCTCAATCAAATGAGGAAATTTTATATCAGTCTCTGGAAATAATTCAAAGTCTCTCTCTTTCTCTTTCGTACACGAGATTGTTACACGCTTTCGATCGACTGCGTTATCGTACTGCCAACAACACGCGACAAGGTACAAATTTTTTAAATCAACTAGTCGAGGCTTGCAATCCCTTCCCTCCAGTTCTATAACAAATGTGCAACGCACTCTAGGACTACACAGCGAACAATAAAGCAATTTAAAGTGATATTCGAATCAAAGTAGATACTGACAAATGCATGGCCCGAGGGAAGATTTATTATCGCTGTATTATTATATGATCTGTCGTTAGTCGGAGGGGGGGGGGCTAGAGGGTGCCGAGATAAAAATGATAATATAATATTGGCAACTATGGCCTCGACTGACGGATACAAATCTTACACGCGTTGTATTCCTTTAACAGAATATCTTTTTTTTCTCATTCCACGAATGCTGCCGCCTACGTTCAACGAATACGAGGGTTCTCAGAACGAGAATGCCGGAGTGGATGATTTTATTTCATATCTTTCGAGGGCAAAAATATTCATTTTATTTTTCCCCAGACAGCGTCCCTTCTACTCTACTTGATTCGTTATTTCTTATATTATTAACCTGAGAGTTCCCTAGTGGAAAAACACAAGAATTTCAACACAGAAACACAGAATTTCGGATCGAACTTGATCAGTTTCTGATCGAGACCTGAACAGAATTTCCACTCGGGTATGAGTCAATTTGAGAGTGAAATTCGTAAGGGTCCTGGTAGCTCAGATGGTAAGAGCACCCGACGACCGCAAATATCGTTGTGCTTTTTTTTTCACATTCATGCGAGACCTCTTCTTGTTGAAAAATATCGTTTGCAACTTATATAGCAAATACCTGCAAACAGGAAATCATCAATCATATATCATCAATTAATATGAAATTCCACAAAATATTGCCATATTAATTAAACTTGAGAGTCACTCCCGACCAAAGTTTAGTAAACAAATTATCAATAATAGGTCATAGACTTTTTTAAATACTAGTTTTTAAGGAATGTAAATAATGTAAATACTGATTGTTTATATATGAAGAAAAACAACATTGGGAGGTCCCGGGTTCGATTCCCGGCTAGGAAGTTACAAATTTTTTCTCTCAAAAAAATTAAATTTAATTAATGCCTAATGATGGTAGGTGGAGAAACCCTAGTGGAAAAACATAAGGTGGAGGCGTAACATGCCTGATCAGAATTTCGGATCGAACTTGATCAGTTTCTGATCGAGACCTGAACAGAATTNGTGTCTCGTTCTCGAGATCACTACGTAGTACCGTCCCTGGACACGTGATGTCACCACAGCTTTCAGCGCTAAATACCAAAAAAGACCGTCGACAGCGCCACTCATGCCCCCAACACCTCATAACGTTTTCTGTGCACGTCGAGTACGCCACGGTTTTTTTTTTGCTCTATCGAGTTTTGATTTATTAATCGAGTTTATTAATATTTATTCTTGTTTAAGTTGGTTTTGTCATCATGCCTAAGCGCAAGAATTTTCCCTCAGATGAGGAGCTTGCCGATTGGCAACGCAAAATATCAAAATATCAAAGACTTGTTAATGACGCATTAAATGCGATCGAATCAGACGATGGCCATGTTAGCTCGTCTGGTAGGTATTTCTTGATGGCGGTTTAACCGTACGATAGACTAAAAGTCTTCAACTGGCGGAATTATCCGTACAAACGTTCAAACTGAAATTTGATGATATGAAATTTCATGTCAAATGGTTAAGTTTCTTTATTTGGTCTAGACGCGTACTTTTCGTTGTTCTAGATGATTCAAAAGGAGATGAGACGGTTCAGGGAGATCTCCCTGGGGACAATGTTCCAAAATCTCCTGCTACCTCAACGATTGATTTGGAGGAAAAGAATGAAGATGGAAATAAGGAGAATGCATCCATCAAACTTGATGAAAAAATTCTTATAAAATTAGGGGCAAACCTCAAGAAAAATGAGAGTGAATTTGTTTTGCATAAAGAGCTGGCAGA